CATACTGTCATTGTGTACTGTTGGGTTGGAACTGACCCATGGCTGACCCTCTGGTGGGTTTTCAGAGGCAGTTAACTGCATGGGAGAAGACTGCCCATCCTTCTCCCACGGAGCAGCTGGTAGCCTCAAACTGCATGCCATTGGGATTATAGCGCAGCTTCTTGCCACTAGACCAAGAGAGCTCCCTAAGCAACTGAAAAGGAAATGGCTTGAAACAAGCACAAATACTCTGTTGAGTATTTGCTGAGCTTCAATCCATATTAAACACTGAAGTCCTTGACCTTCTGCAACAAACGGTTCAGGTCCTCCTGAGTTTCAGCAAGCAAATTGTGTCATCTGCACAACACAGGTTGTTGATGAGTCTTCCTTCAATCTTGATGCCCCATTCCTCCTCATAAAACTCAGCCTCCCAAATGATCTGTTCCACATATAGATGGAAAAGGTATGAATACAGGACACATCCCTGGCACAATCCTTTTGTGAGTTTGAACTATGAAGTGCCTCCTTGCTCTGTTCCAAGGACTGCTTCCTGGTCTAAGAAAAAGTTTCACGCAAGAGCACAATTAAGTGTTCTGGGATTCCCATTCTTCTCAATATTAGCCACAATTTGTTGTGATCCACCTATTTAGTGCCTTTGTATAGTCAATGAAACACAGATAGACATTCCTCTGGTTCCATCTACTTTCAGCAAAGATCCAGCTGACACTGTGATGTCCACTAGTTGCTACAGTCTTTTCTAAACCCAGCTTTTATTTCCAGTAGTTTTATCAATGTACTGTTTCAGTCACTTTTTAATAATTTTAAGCAGGATTTTGCTTGCATAAGATATTAGTGATATAGCTTCATAATTTCCACACTCTGTTGGGTCACCTTTTTATGGAATTGTTTAATAGGGATAAGATAATCTATTAGGGATGGGCAAATCAGAAATTGGCTGTCTAATAAAAGGATATTAGGGCAGAAAGCATGAAGCAGCTGGCTTGTATGCTTTCACAAATGTAGTTATTAGTAAGGTGATTTTAAGGGAGTAAACCCCACAGTATACATGAATGAAATATAATGTAAATGAAAGATTATAGAAAACAGAATGTACATGCATGAAACACAAAGCATATGAGTGAGTGATAAAAATATTCATAAAAAATATATAAGACACACACACCCTTAAATGTGAATGAATGTTTCAATCAAAAACAAATTTACTGTTTAAACTGTCACTAAAATCATAATAATATAAATTGTTATATATTTTAGGTTGCAAAGAAGGTTCTAAATTTATTCTTTTTAATGACAAATATGAAAATTCATTGAACATTGTTCCTTTTGTATGTCTTCAAGTCAGAATTGACTCAGAGCTGGTCCTCTAGCAGTTTCAGAGGCAGTAAATCATACGGGAGGAGAATTGCCCATCTTTCTCCCTCAGAGCAGCTGGTGGATTCGAACTGCATGCTTTTGAGACTGCAGTACAGTACTTAAAGCAAGAGTCAAAAATTGACATTTCTGGTTGTATTTGTCAGTCTCTTTATACCTTGGACTAGTGCTTGATCCCAGTTTGTCACTTATGAATGTTATAGTTTGGGACTTTACTCCCAGGTCTCTGATCCACCTTGAGTTGATTTTTGTTTATGGTGTGAGATATGGATCCTGTTTCAATCTTCTGCAGGTGGAAGTCCAGTTTTGCCAACACCATTTGTTGAAGAGGTTGTCATTTCCCCATTTCATATTTTTTGTTTCCTTTTCGAGTATTAGTTCACCATAGTTAGCATAGATAGCTGGGTCTTTTTCTGGTTCTCAATTCTGTTCAATTGGTCTGTGTGCAATGGGCAAAAGACATGGAAAAAATTTTCACAGAGGAAATATTTGAATGGCAAAGAGACACATGAAGAAATGCTCTAAATCACTGGCACTAAGAGAGATGCAAATCCAAACTACAATGAGGTACCATCTCACTCCAATAACAGTGGCAAAGTTTAACAGGGCAGTAATTAATAGATATTGGAGAGGATGTAGCGAGAAAAGAACTCTTATACATTGTTGGTGGGATTGTAAAATGGTTCAACCATTCTGGAAGGCAGTTTGGTGCTTCCTCAGAAAGTTGAACATATAAATTCCATGTGACCCAGCTATTCCACTGCTTGGAATATGCCCTGAGAATATGAGAACTGAGGCACAAACTGAGATTTGTAGACCATTGTTCACTATCACAAGAACATGGAAACAGCCCAAATGTCCAAGCACAAATAATGGATTGAGAGATTATGGTATATTCACCCAATGGAATACTACACAGCACGCAGGAGCAATAACTTTATAGCATTATCCTTCATGAACTAATGAACTTAGTCCTACAAGGATAAATATTGTATAAAACTGTTACTGTAGAATGACTATAAGGATCTAGGAGGGATGGGAGCGGCTGGAAGCAGAGGGATGTGGATGTGCAGGGGGAGGGGAGGATTAATCATTGGGTTATACAATTTGATGGGAGGGGAGGGGAGAAAAATTTCAAGAATTTGTTTGAATTTGTATTCAAGTTTTGTGAATAAACTAGTACGAGGGGGAAAAGAAAAGAAACCCTATGTATGCACGAATAAAAAAATTTTTTTAAAAAAAATTGACATTTCTAAGTTCCTCAGAACTTCAAAAGAAGAAAGTCATGAATAGAACAGTGGGAGTTTATATCTTTCAGATTTAACTTCAGAGTGATCCTTTTGTTTATTACAGATTTAAAAAAAAAAAAACCCAACCTAAATTGATGGATCTCTGTGTTCTGTTGCAGTGTCTAGACTAGGAACAAAATTATAGAGGCTTTTCCATGTCTGACTTTTTAATTGAAATAATTCAATTCTCTCTCTTACCCAGGAGAAAAAGCAACTCAAGTCTTTAAAGCCAGAGGAAAAAAATAGTTTCTTGTGTTTTGAGTTGACTTTGAAAACTTACACATGTATTAATTATACCATTATTTTTGTGTATATCTTCTTCTCTCCTACTATACAGGCTAGTTTTGGGTAGTTAGGTACATGTTACAATAATTATTTTTATGTTTGTTATTAATTTTATCATTTAAATTCCCAGAAGTTAGTATTTGTCATTTTGATCGTGTATTAAGGCCTGGCACTTTGACATTCCTATCCGGGTAATGCTCCCTGACCCTGGTTTGCTGGGGATGGGACAGAGCATATATCTAGGGTCAAGTAGCAGCCAGCCATGGTTAATTTTATGGAGTCACAAGGTCAAGGAGAATCTAGTAGTGAATTAATTTATTTTCATCTACTGTGTAAGTAGAAGCAAGGATTCTGAAGCTTTGTCTGACATATTTTGGGTATGTTGCAATGAAGGGCCAGTCCTTGGAGAGGGACATCATGCTTGGGAAGGTGGAGGGACAGTGCAAGAGAGGAAGACCCTTGATGAGATGGATTGATTTGGTGACCGGGGAAATGGGTGTAAGTGTGTCATAGACAATAAAGGTCAGCACAGGATAGAGTAGGGCTTAGAGCTGTTGTACACAGGCTTGTTATGAGTTGCAAGCAACTCGCTGGCACATAATAACAACTATTTAAGTAAGTGTAGGGGCAGGTTTTTAAAAAAAATATTAACATGAGCAAATAATTTTAATTGGTTAGTCTTTTAAATTAAATATTCTAATTTACTAGCAAAACTCTGTAGTTTATATAACATCAGCAGCTAATAAATAATTCCTATATATGTTTTATGGCAACTTTCAATTATTTTCACTTACATCACCTCAGTCATTAGACCAGGTATTATTATACCCGTTTTACTAGAGAACAAAATTCTATTCTAGTTTAATTATTTGCCCAAAACTGTTCCATAGATAATAAGAGACACAGATTCCCTGACTTCAAGTCTCATGCTCTTTCAGCTATACCAGTGGCTGCTATGGTGGTTTTTCCTCTCTGCTTTTATATTAGAAATACAGGATATTACTGAGTATTCATGACTGTCCTGGAGCCACCTCAAATGTTATTATTAACCTGTTTTACTTAGGCTTTATAGAGAACTGCCACTGACAAGGTTTATACAAGAGGATAAGCCCCCTCCACCTTACCCTTCCCAAGGCTAGTTAATAATAGTGATTATTGCATTGAACAAGCCTGTTAGCCTAGGATGTGACTAAAACTGCACCTAAATATGAATATTGGCCCATTGATCTAATACTGTGCGTGAATAAAATTTCATTTACCAAATGTTGTCATGTGCTATCAAGTTGCCTAGGATTCATAGCAACCCTATGCACAATAGCTCTAAACTCTATCCTTTCCTGAGCCAATCTCACTGTCTCTGACTCCAGTCCCTAAATTAATCCATCTCATACAGTGTCTTCCTTTCCTTTGTTGTCCCTCTACCCTTCCAAATATGATGTCCTTCTCCAAGTACTGGTCCCACCTGGCAACGTGCCCAAAGTATGCGAGACGGAGCTTCAGAATCCTTGTCTTCAGAGAGCAATTTGAGTTCACCCTCTCCAATTCATTATATGAATGCAAGCCAGATCACACCAGCAACTATTAAATGTGAGGGATCATCATTAATTGTATACATACGTATAATCAAATGGCCTAGTAAAGGAAGTCCTTTGGTCCAGAAACAGCTGCTGTTAAGAAATTGAAATGCATGTTTAATAGGTAGAATTTCAAGTAGCAGGAGGAAAATATAAATTGTGTTGGAGTTATTGTAGTACTGGCTCAAGAAACATCTTGTATCTTGGCATCAAAAGACTACATACAACAAAGGACACACTTTGTTTCTTGACCTCAATGATGATTCTTTGTATAATCTGTTCAACATTTTGTTAACAGAATAGATAGAGAATCCTATAGCTGTTTAAATCCCGTTCATCTTCCTTTATCATTAATGTCACATAAAGAAATCATTTCTGAAAACAGGATTTAATTTATTTTATTTATGTATCACTTAATCTCCTTTTATTCTACTATGAACTTATTTTTTATAAAGTTATCTTTCTTTTCTCTTTATTTCAGATTTGATCCTTCGCTCCTTCAGACGTCAAAAAAGGAACACATCTCAGATGAAAATATGTCTTTAGAAACACTAAAAAACAGTAATCCAGAAAACCTCTTTGATGAGATTTAATGGTCTCAGAAATGTTCTTTGATGTTCACTTGCTTATGTTGTCTATTCATTTCAAATCAAAGTTGCAACACAGCAGCAGCTATTACTGTTTTTGTTATTGTTATGTGCCGTTGAATTGCTTGCAACTCATACCTTACAATTTAATTGCATACACACTGAGGAGAAACAAAAGGATTACACATGTATATGAAGATACGACTTAGGACAGTGGCACTTTATTGTAAACTACTTATTCACTATGCCTATGATTTTACACACATATATGAAGGTAAGACTTAATGATAGTAGCATTTTATTATAAACGACTCATTCAGTATGCCTCTGAGTATATAGCACCTCAAACTTTCTGTTGCAGAGGACACAACCATCTTTATCCAATTCACACATATTTTATATGATAGCAGCCTAACAACCAATCTAGGAAAATTTGGAAATACAACAAAGAGATCTTTTTTGAAAAATCTGTAGCTCTTTTCTGAATAGTCATAGTCTATGTACTAGTATTTCATTATTTTAGTTTTGGAGTTGATATATAAAAATCAATTTTTGTTTTGTACCTAAGCAATTAAAATTAATAAAGTTTCTCATCTGTTGAGCATTTGGTGGTGTGTTTTTTTTTTCTAAAATGGGTTATTTGATTTAGATCATTCCTTTTATAATAACATGTTTATAAAATATTTATGTAAAGGTGATAATGCTTGGTTTAAAAAGCCTGTTTTTCAAGGATTATTGGTCAATTTATAGATTAGGTAGAAAGGGCTCTCATAGAAGACAAAGGCTTTGCTGTATTCAGTGATCTATTCCCAGTAAGTTTTACACCATTTTGGCAATATTCACTGTTTCTACATCCTTACCTTTCATTCTATCTTCAGTTCTCTCTTCTTGATATGCATTTCCTCAATGTCACTCCAATTTATGGAGTTCTGGTGGCCTAGTTGTAAGGAGTTATGCTGCCAACCCAAAAGCAGTCAGTTCAAATTCACCAGCTATTCCAGGGGAGGAAGATGGTCAGTCTTCTCCCATGAGATTTACAACCACTGGACACCCACTGGATGGTCAACTATGAGTCCATTCCAACTCAGAGTCACTTAACAAGTCCCAGTTAATGACCCTTATGTTATTGAATGTGATCATGAATGGTCTGTCCTAGTCTTATTAAACCTTTTGGTAACATTTGACACATTTGGTTGCTTCTCCCTCAGAAAACTTTTTCTTCAGTTTACTCTTGTATTCCCCTGTGCTGGGTTGTTTTATTTTTTGCGATGTTTGTTTGTTTATTCCTTCTTCTTTTAGCCACTCTTTTTTTTTTACCCCTCCCCAGATTTCATGCCTGACTTCTTATCCCATGCCCAAGACTTCATTCCAGGCATTGGGATGGCTTGGGCCAGTCATCACCCTTCTCTTTATTTCCCACATTTTTCCCCCTCTTGTTTATCTGTATCTTTAAAAACTACATATAGGCCAACAGGTCAAAATAAAGCAAAATTTGTCCACCAACACCATGCACTGTCGTCAAGATGACTCAGACTTCTAGCAACACTACCCTGGGTTTCTAAAGCTGTAACTCTTTTTTTGTTGAAGGAGCCCATTCAGTAGCAGCTGAGGGATTAGAACTCAAGGCCTTTCAATGAGCATCCCAATACTGTGTATTGTGTACTGTGCTACCACTCATGCCACCAGAGCTTCATATACGTGTGTGTGTGTGTGTGTGTGTGTGTGTGTGATTTTAAAAAGTGGTTTTTGAGCTTTCTAAATCTTTACCTTTTATCAAATACTAGTGCATTTTATTATCATGTTTAAAACTCAGATATATTTGTCTGTCTACCTATTATCTTTATTTGCATCCAAAGAAAAGATTTTATCCCCATCATGACTTCCTCTGTCTTTCCTATCCAGTCAGTGTCCCGAACACTGCCCAGTTGCTTCAAAGTAAAACCCCAGGAATTTTCTCTTGCCCCTCTCCAATTCTTCCCCCCCCCCTTGTCTTTGCCTTCGGAACACAACTAGAAGCTATGTATTTCTCTATTTCAACTACAGCTGTCTCCTGGCAGGTTTCTCTGCTAAATCTCCTTCTCTCCTAGAATCCAGCCAGAGAGTTTTAAAATCTTAGTAAAATTATAGGGAGCTCGAGTGGCCTAGTGGCAAGAAGCTGCACTGCAGTCCTGAAAGTATGCGGTTGAAGGCCACCAGCTGCTCCACAGGATGCACAGGATGGACAGTCTCCTCCTGTCAATCAACTGCCCCTGAAAACCCGCCAGAGGGCCAGCTAGGGGTTGGTTCTGACTCAACAGTACACAACAACAACACAACAAAATTATTTCACTGCCTGGATTAAAACCCTACAAAACATTAATCTTTCAATAAAATTCACACCCTCTACCATAGCCTTGATTGCATGTTTCATCAATTTCTGATTGCAAAAGTTGGTAGAAACCTTCCATTTCCTCCTCTTTGGTTCTAGTTGTTGGTACATATATCTGAATGATAGTGGTATTCACTGGACTTCCTTGTATGCGTATGGATATTACCCTGTCACTCACCACATTGTATTTCAGGACGGATCTAGAAATGACTTTTTTAATTATGAAACCAACCCCATTTTTTCCTCACCTTTTCATCCCCAGCATAGTAAATCATATGATCATCTGATTGAAAGTGTCCCATGACAAACCGTCTCATTTTGCCAATACCTAGTATGTCAACATTTATGCAGTCCATTTCTTTCTTAACAATGTCCAATTTTCCTACATTCATGCTTCTCACATTCCACGTTCCAGTCACTAGTGTCTGCTTCCAGATGTTCCTTCTCTATATTTCCATTTCTAAGATCTCAGTCTCAATTGCCATGTCTGCTAGTCCAAGTGATAGTCTAAGTGTGCTCTATTGTACCTAGGGTTTTCGAAGGCCTGTCATTTCGCAAGTGGATGGCCAATCTTCCTAGTCCATCTCAATTTTTTAAATATATATAATAGTATCTGACAGACAAGTATTTTACAGAAAAGAGTAGATGAAAAACATTTACCCAGTTAGAAAAATGACCAATAAATTCAATGTTGCTGCTCACCCTTGCTCCATTTTTTTTTGTTGTTGGGTTTGTTGTGTTTTGGTGTTTGTTTTTTTTTATCCACCCTTTCCCTACTCCAGCACCATCCCTTCCTACTTTTTCCTACACTGTTGAACACCTGTCTCCCTTTGACCAGCCCTTGATATGATGGCCTAAGTCTCAAACCATCAGGATTTCTGTGATTCTGAAAATAGCTGCTGTCAGTCTCTTATGATGCAGCTAGTATGACTTCAATTTAAAGTTTCTAAGTACAACTCTCATGTATAATGCAAAAGTCAGGAATGAGGAAGAAGGATCAGTAGCTGGAAAACCCGGGCTCAGTGAGAGAAATGAGGTTGCAGATAGAATGATAGAGTTCTGCACATTCAGTGATTTATTCATTGCAGATACCTTTTATAAAAAACATAAATGCAGGCTATACACATGGATTTCACTTAATGGCATGCATAGGAATCAAATAAATTACATTTGTGGAAAGGTTTGCTGAAGAAGCTCAATATAAGCAGTGAAAACCAGGCCGGGTGCTGACTGTGGGATAGACCGGAACACTTGATCATGCTAATGAGAAACCTATACCTGGACCAAGAGGCAGTCATCAGAATAGAGCAAGGAGACACTACATGGTTCAAAATCAAGAAGGGGGCCCATCAAGGGTGTATTTTGTCTCCATACCTTTTCAATCTGTATACAGAACAGATCATCCAAGATGCTGGGTTGTATGAGGAGGAATGTGGTATCAGGATTGGTATAAGAGTCATTAACAACCTGCATTATGTGGATGACACAACCCTGCTTGCTGAAACCGAGGAGGACCTGAAGCGCTTGCTGCAGAAGGTCAAGGACTTGCAGCCTTCAATATGGATTGAAGCGCAACATCAAGAAAACAAAGATTCTCACCACTGGGCCAATTGGCAGCATCAGTATGGATGGTGAAGAGATTGAAATAGTTAACAGTTTTAGTTTACTTGATTCCACAGTCAACACTCTTCATAACAGCAGCCAGGAAATCAGGAGATGAATTGCATTGGGAAAGTCAGCTGTGAGGGACCTCTTAAAGTACTGAAGTGCAGCGACGTCAGGCTGGAGACTAAGGTGAGCCTGATCCAGGCTATAGTTTTCGCTATTACGTGCTATGCATCAGAGAGTTGGACAGTGAATAGGGATGATCGACAATTGATGCCTTTGAACTGTGGTGCTGGAGAAGAGTGTTGAATATACCATGGACTGCTAGGAGAACAAACAGGTTTGGCCTGGAGAAGGTGAAGCCGGAATGCTCCTTGGAGTCAAGGATTTTGAAGTTTCGTCTGACATACTTTGGGAATGTTGCAAGGAGGAATTGAGAGGGACATCATGTTTGGGAGAATGGAGGGATGGCAATGAGATAGAACGATCCTGTGAGTGGAGTGGTGGGAATGAGTGTGTTTGAGACGGCGAGGTTGGCACAGAATAGAATGGTGTTTAGGGCTCTTGTACATGGGTCACCATCAGTTGCAAGCGACTTGATGGCACAAAACAGCCACAACCATAGCCTACAAGGTCTGAAGTGATCTGGCCCTCACCCTCCTGACCTCATTGCACATGCCTTTCTATTAACTCACCTTGACCCCTTCACTGCCCCTCAGGTAAACCAGATGGCAGAACTATTGTCTGGAATTCTCGTCACATGATCTATTTCTTCTCACCTTTCAGTTCTCAAACCAAAAATTACCTCTCTACAGCTTCTTTCCCTGAAACATACTGAGTCCCACCATTACTCTCTGTCTCCTATTCTCAGCATACTTTTTTGCAGTTATTTTCATGTTTTTCTTCTATATTCCATTATAGCAGGAACATATATGCTAAGCCCAATAGCTTGAACAGAGTTTTGTTTTTTTTACATACAGATTTTGTAAGTCTGTGTTGAATAAATTCTTTCTGATCTCAAAATAGGATTCAA